GTTGATGCTGATGCTGATGATGACGATGGTCAGATGCTATGATTATGGCGATACTGGTAATTTTAATGTGAATGATGACGACGATGATGCTGATGACAATGATGCAGGTGACGTTTTGATGTAGATGAAGAGGATGATGACGACGAGCACGACGATCACAGTGATGACCATGATGATGTTGATGCTGCTGATGGTGGTGATGACGATGATCACGATGATTATGCTGATGATGACGGCGATGCTGCTGAGGACGATGATACTGATAATGACGATACTGATGATGGTTATGATGATACTCACGACGATGTTGATGATGCTGATGTTGAGGATGATGGTGCTGATGCTTATCGTACTGATGACGGTGGTGATGCTGATGATGACGACGACGATGCTGATGATGACGATGATGGTGGTGATGATGGGGATGATGATGATACTGCTGATGTTGATGCTGCTGATGCTGATGCTGATGCTGATGCTGTCGATTACGATGATGATGTGGATGATGACGATGCGGATAATGATGATGATGATGATGATGATGATGATGATGATGATGATGGTGATGCTGTTGCTGGTGCTGACGATGACGATGATGATGATGGTGCTGATGATGATGTTGTTGATGATGATGATGATGATGCTGCTGCTGCTGATGATGATGACGATGATGATGCTGATGCTGATGCTGATGCTGATGATGATGGTGATGATGATGGTGATGATGATGATGATGATGATGATGATGATGATGCTGATGATGATGATGATGATGACAACACCACAAGGCATCGGCTACAACGAACTTCGACTGCAGCATCAGCGTCGCTCAAGCGTCGGCGGAAGGCGGGGAGGAGGGGAGGACACCGGGTTTCCTTGTGGAAGCTCGGCCGAAAACGAAAACTGCGGGCCATCGCGCACGCGCCCGACAGCCAGGCGCTTGCAATGGGGCGCACCGAGCGCGGGCCGCGAGCGAACTTCAGCACACCCTTGGTGCGAAGAGCTGCCGCCACGAGCGATCCTCAGCAGTGGCGGCTCCGTTCGGTGTGGCAAGCGCCGAGTGGCCTCGGCCGACTCGGCCCTCGCCTGGTCCCGCAGCGGGCCCTCGCCTGATCCCGCAGCGGGCCCTCGCCTGGTCCCGCAGCAGTGGGCCTCAGCTGCCTCGCAGTGGCGCGCGCGACCTCCCGCGCAATGATGATGACGATGACGATGACGATGACGATGACGATGATGATGATGATGATGATGATGATGATGATGATGATGATGATGATGATGATGATGATGATGATGATGATGATGATGGATGATGATGATGATGATGATGATGATGGATGGATGATGATGGTGGTGTGTGTGATGATGATGCTGATGCTGATGATGATGCTGCTGATGCTGATGATGCTGATGATGATGATGCTGATGATGATGATGCTGCTGACGATGATGATGATGATGATGATGATGATGATGATGATGATGGTGATGATGATGATGACGATGACGATGACGACGACGACGATGATGATGATGATGGATGATGATGATGATGATGATGATGATGATGATGATGATGATGATGATGATGATGATGATGATGATGATGATGATGATGATGATGATGATGATGATGATGATGATGATGATGATGATGATGATGATGATGATGATGATGATGATGATGATGATGATGATGATGGGGGAGGAGAGGGAGGAGGGGGAGGGAGGATGAGGATGAGGAGGAGGAGGAGGGTGAGGAGGAGGAGGAAAAGGAGGCACATGTGGAGGCAGAGGAGTAGAAGCAGGAGGAGGGGAAGTAGGAGCAGTAAGGAGAAGGAAGAGGGAGGAGGAGGAGGAGAAGGAGGAGGAGGGAGGGAGGAGGAGGAGGAGGAGGAGGAGGGAGGAGGAGGAGGGAGGGGAGGAGGGAGGAGGAGGAAGAGGAGGAGGAAGAGGAGGAGGAGGGACAGACCGACGTCCCCCTTGGCGCTCAGAGGCACCACGCAGGGTGGGCGGGAGGGCGGGGCGGCGGCATCGCTGGCACGGGCACTGGCACAGTGCACGGGCTCCCTTCCGCCAGGGGGGGGGAAGGGGAGGGGGGCGCGGGGGGGGGGCTCCACAGCGCCCCCGCGCCGTCGGCTCCCAGGAGGAGGGGGAGCAGGGAAGGAGCCATGGGGGCAGCACAGGAGCAGGCAGGCGGGGTGGGGCGCGGGGGGGGGAGGGAGCGGGGAGGTTGCGGCGGAGGCCTCCGCCGCCTCCGTTGCCGCCGCCGCCGCCGTCGCCGTCACCGTCGCCGTCGCCGTCGTCGCCGTCACCGTTGCCGTCGCCGTCGCCGCCGTCGCCGTCGCCGTCGCCATCGCCGTCGTTGCTGTCGCCGTCGTCGCCGTCGCCGTAGCCGTCGCGCGCGCGCTCTGGCGAGCCGGGCCCACCTGCGGGGGGCGCATCTCATCGGGCCTCCCCGGGGGGGCCTTCGACGATGCCCTGCGGATATCTGCGGATTGGACGGCGGCGTCGGCGACGGCGACACAGTGGACGGCGGCGGCAACGAGGACGAGGACGAGGGCAAAAACGACGAGGACGAGGGCGAGGGCGAGGGCGAGAGCTAGGGCGAGGGCGAGGGTGAGGACGACGAGAATGATGACGAGGGCGAGAGCGCGGACGAGGACGAGGGCGAGGGCGAGGGCGAGGACGAGGACGAGGACGAGGCCGAGGGCGAGGACGACGAGGACGGCGTGGTCTCCAGCGCGGCCCGTGATGCGCGTCGACTCGCAGTACGGCCCGCGGCCCCCGAGGCACCTCCCACACGCCACTTCAGCGTGTGGCTGATGCGATTCACCTCCCTTTCAGTTTCGCGCGCGCCATGGCTCCAAAAGGCCCACGCCATGCGCTCTCAGCACCACTGCGGCCCAGGCCACCAGGCAATGGCCGCCCAAGGGCAACCGCACATGATCGCCAGTACAGCCACTTGGGTCCTCGTGCGAGGAGAGCGCCTGGCGGCCTCCGGAGAATTGGTTGGAAGCACTATTCTTCCAACCCCTCACAACTGAGATGCACGGAGGACGGGGGGGGTAGCATGTTGCCTGGTGTGCGTGTGCAGGCCCACCCTCCCTGTCAGAAGCATATGCAAAGCACAGCTTGCGGCAGAATCTTCGGCCACGCGCGGACGCCCGTGAACCGTGAACCGAGGAATGTTCCTGATCTTTTGGCTCTCCTCGTGCACGCGGGCGCTCATGGGACCCAGAGGGGCTTCGGTGCTTCTCTGGCGTTCCTTCCGGTAGCAGCTTCGTGAGCATAAACACTCGGAGGTCCGCGCGGATTTCTGAGTCTGCGGTGGAGCCCCCTTGGCGGCGCCTCATGCGCCGCCCCTACAGCGCTCCGCGCACCATGGCAAGTGAGTAATCCTCAAGGGGTAGATCAGGTTTTCGCTTCGGTCGCCAGCTGCGTCCGTCTTGCTCGAGTGAATGGTTGTTTAGTCAACTTTTGCATTTGTTGGTGAGTCGTATGCGATATGTAAAAACACCGATACTGTCTCTTATCTCTTACATCCATGTCCTATCCAGGTTTGACGAATGCGATGCAAGCATTCCGCTTCTTATCTGAGCACTTGTTTACACTTGGTAGCGGCTGGGTGTGTGGTTGGCTGTAGCTATGATAACCACCCTCCACGGTACCATTCTGATCATTGGTACGTATTACCTTTCGCCCGCAACTAATCGCCATTTCCGGCCTACATCGGAGCTAAGCTATTGGAACTAGGCGATTTGATGGACACTGGCGAGCAAAGCGACTTGTCTACCACAGTGGCGATGCAGAGTAGTTGCATACACGGTAGTGGCCTACGGCACACCACCAATGTATCGCGGGTATCCAAGCATGGAAGCAAATTGGCGCACCTCTCCAAGATTACGCGCTGTCATGCGCACAGTGCCAATATACCCCAACAGGCCATCAGGAAATTGATAACGCCAGACAACAGTAACCAACAAAAGGCGCCAGACGGATCACATACGCCTTGTCATTAGTTACATTTTCGAGTATTTACATCGCGCTCCTCCCATTTAGTACCAAACTCGAACGCTTAGACGACGAATGGCAATACATCTTAGGAACAGCTCTCATCGGTTGCAGTTTCCCCAACGGAGAACGATGGACGTATCCTTGGCCCGATCCGAGATGGCACGACTCGAAACGCAAACAGTTGACTTCGGGACGCCCGTCTCGGACCTTCCAACTGCGTCGACCGCTCAACCACTGGATGCCACGCGCACAGCGGGAGCCCCTCCTACAACACATGAGGTCCAGTGGACGTGTCGTGCAACAGTTGCCGGGAAGCATCGGGGGAATTTTCAGCGTTGGCCACAGCCAGGACGCCATGATGACAGACAAGCACTTACTCGGGGCCTCACGCGGCTCGGCAAAGAGCATCTGGGCCGATCAAGACGAGAATGTTGCACTCCTGGGCAT